AAATAAGGGTTTGACATTGGGGATTTATAAGGGGCTTTTTGCACTGGGGAAGGAATGTGATACCGAGGTATATTTGATTTGTGTGGGGAGGGGGCTACAGGGGTGACCTCTGAAAAGCTTCTGGAAGCCTCCCCCCTGCCCGATAGAGCCAACGCCAGCTGGCTCCGGGATGGATCCGCTGCTGGCCAAGGCCAAGCCCATCAGTGGCAGTGGTAGTGCCTCTGGGATAACATCTAAGGGGGGGAACAGGGAAGAGGAATCGCAGCCAGGGAGAGAGAGTGAGATGAGAACAACAGCCCTGCAGCTCCCCAGGTCAGGGAGAAGGAGCAGGAGCAGGTGCTCCAGGCGCAGGAGCAGAGATTCCCCGGCACCCTGTGGTGGGAGGGCAGGCTGTGCCCTGCAGCCATGGGGGGGTCATGGGGGGCACAGACCCCCTGCAGCCTTGGGAGGACCACATGCCAGAGCAGGGGAATGCTGGGAGGAGGCTGTGACCCCTTGGGCAGCCCTGGAGCAGGCTCCAGGCAGGAGCTGTGGCCCCTGGAGAGAGGAGCCCAGGCTGGGACAGGTTTGCTGGCAGGACTGGTGACCCCAGGGGAGCCCAGTCTGGAGCACTGCTCCTGAAGGATGGCACCCTGGGGTGGGACCCACTGGAGCAGGGGCAGAGTGTGAAGATCCTCCCCTGAGCAGCAGAGACAGCGTGGGGTGGCCTGACCCAACTCCCATTCCCCGCCCCCCTGTGCTGCTGGCAGGGAGGAAGTAGAGAAATTTCGAGCAGAGCTGATGCTGGGATGGAGGGGGGGAGGTGCTGTAAGATTTGGTTTTCATTCTCTTACTCTGATTGGATTGGCAAGAAATAAAATTCATTTTCCCCATGTTGAGTGTGCTTTGGCCATGATGGTAGTTGGTGCGTGATCCTTCCTGGTCCTTACCTGGACCCACGGCCTTCCCGCTGTGTTTTCTCTGCCCCACCCAGCTGAGGAGGCAGGGACAGCGGCTCTGGGGGCACATCCATGGGCAGAAAAGTAGGGTTGGCGATGACACCGTGTTACATGTAGCTCAGCTGAACACAGAGGGGAAGACAGGTCACACTGAGGAGCAGATCAATGACAGCGTGTCTTCCAGCAACTCCAGCCTTCGGCACGCGCCTTGTAGACAGGCAAAGGGTTAGGGTTAGGGTTCCCAAGGTAGTCATCTGGCTGGGCCACGTGCTTGACACTGCCGTGCTGAAGCCCTGCGTGGCAGGGTGCGTGGCGGTGCCGAGCGTTGCATGGGTGGTTCCGTTGGCGTCTCCTAACGAGCTCACGTTCGTTTCTCACTGAGAAACTGTTGGTTTTCTGGACTTCTTTTCTCCAGACGTTTTACACCCGACCAGTCGCCTTTTGGGTTCTGTGAAGAGACCAAGTTGCACTCTGTCCAGCTGCTTCCCGTGTACCGGGCAGGTACGTGGGTACACGTGGATGCGTTATGGCTGGGTCATGGGAGACCCAACCTGGGGAGGAGCTTCTCCGTGTACCCTGTTTAGGACGCTGGTTCCGTATGGTGTGTTCCTAAATGAAGGTCTTTCCTCCCTTTCCAGTAATTTATGCTGAGCTTCTCTTAACAAAAAAGCCTTTCAGTTTCTCCAAGTTCTGCCTAAACCTTGAACTAAAATACCAACTCACGGCACCAAAACAGGAGACTAAATCAGATTTTAAAGTTCTCTACTGCAAAACAGTTCTTGACTGATCCATTCTGCATCATGAAACAGTGACCCTTTACCTTGCATTAAGAAAATGATCCTCAGCGTTATCTTAGGCTGTCTCATTAGTCAGCAGTGCGAATTAGAGTAGTAAACCTTAATAAGAATTAAGATACAGGTTACCTTTCTGCCAGGCTTTAATTAGAACTGCAGGGGCTGAATGCAGGTGTTGTGGGTTCACTAGCTCAGGCCCCAGTAGAGGAATGGCAGAACATAATGCTGTATGTTACCGTCAGCTTGACGACTAATCACCCAGTGGCTGGCTGTTAGTAGCAAGTACAGCCCTCCACAAGGGTTTGTGCAGTCTGAACTTGGCCTTCGCCTGCCACAGTGCCCTTGTGAGTACATTCTGCCCTTCCCTGCTTTCCTCTGGGAGGATCTGTGCTTTGGTGAGCTGGATAAGCATTCGTCCCAGCTCGCAGGCAGTTGTCTAAGGTCAGGCTGATCATTCAGTCCATGGATGTTTAGTTGAGATGAACCTGCCAGGACTCTGATGCTGTTACATCTGTAGAATTCCTTCACTCGGTGGTATGTCCCCACTTTTGTTAAAAATGCCTCCAAATGAGGTAACATGACATACGTGGATCTGACCTGCGCACTGTTCTCCATACGGCTCTGTTCCTCCTCACTGGCCACTAAGAAAACCCGTCTGCAACCCGGGCAGGTCTGGTAGGGCCTTCCAGGCATCAGACTTGCAAAGGAATTGCCCGGGTTTGACCTACGAGGTACGTAAACTGCCTTTCTTATTGTTACATCCAGGAAGTTCTGTGACAGCCCGCGAGGAAACGGAGACCAAGACAGAACTGCTGAGTCTCTTCTGCTTTTTCTCCTTACCTCACGCCGGGTACCTCTACTCTCTTGGGAGGTCAGTGGAGCTGATTTCTACTTACCAGTATTCAGAGAAGTCAGAGCAGGCAGTTCTCACTCCACAGTTCCTGCATGTCATTACAAGGTACTACGTTTATGACTTTGCTGGTGCTTTTATTATGTTTCTCTGTGCTGCTGCCTTGCCCCCGCACCCCGCGATGTCCTTCGCAGCCTCCTGGAGCTCCCTGGGTTGGCTCGTGTGGTCAGCATGGCTCCCGCTTCGGCTCCAAGGCCTGTTTCTCTGGTGGAAAAAGATCCAATTCTCTGTAGTTTTGGCTACTTCATTTTTGCAAGTCTTTTTTGCCTTCATCACTGTGGTTTCTCCTTCCCCTCAAGTGAGAGCCTGCAGTGTTTCACCGTGCGGTGCAGCGCGGCGGCAGCTCGGGAAGAGGATCCATATATTGATACCACCGTGAAGGTGCGCCTCTCCTTATCTTCCTGAAAAAGTGGGGTGGCAATATGACTTTTCCTTTCTTTGTGTTTCCTTCTGAAATCCTGTTAGTTTCTGTTGAACCAAGAAAATAACATTCAGAATTAGTGTTTTACTTCAATCTATGGCCTTTGTATTTTGATGCTCTACAGCTGTCCCCGTTAAACAAGCTGTTGTCACTGTTGAATATTCTGGACCATGTGTTTTCAAAACCATCCAAAGCTCTAAAATCACATTTTAAACTAAGTTCCATGCTTTCCTGTATGAATCAGGATGAAAGGGGCAGAGTTTTCCCTTGTTGCAGCTGATGCCGTTTCTCCTTCGGGTGTCCTTGGAAAGCGGGTTGGAAGGGGAGTGTGGACACTCGAACTAGTGTGCCACCACATACTGCTTGCCTGTCTTTTAGGAGGAAGGCTTTTGGTTCTTGGAGGTCTAGGCTTTCCCCTTTTTTAAACTGGTTATCAGTAAAAACCTACTGAATCGTGAAGACTGGGATGTACATTAATGAAAACACCAGGAAAGCTGCCGTGGGGTGTGTTTAAGTTGGCATTTAAGAATGTCTTTGAGCACGCAGACTACGGATATCAAGAAACCCTGGCACAGTAGAACTATTACAGAACGCTCAAGAGCCAAACACATAGTCTCTGCTCACCATGGAGGTGCAGAGATAGAGGGTACAACACGTGGCACAACCTGTGCTGTCCCTTCTCCACTCTCAGCATTCTGTTTCCGCTGTGGGTCATATTCAGCCCATCACAGTTCCTTCAGTCAGGCACAGGCTGCCTCCTGCCCCAGCAGATTTGGGGAGGAGGGGGTGGGGTGGTCTGCAGACAGCAGCCCCTTGGGGGTGTCTGTACTGTGTGCTGCAGCCCACCCTGGAGTGGGTCCTCCGTGGGCCGCAGTCCCCCTGGGGCATCCCTGCCCTGGAGTGGGTAGCCCGTGGGCCGCCGTCCCCCTGGCGCATCCC